TAGAAAAACATTCCCTCACTGATGCTATCTCTTAGGAAAAATTTAACTATAAAGATTGCACAAAAATTTTCTTCACCTTTTTGAGCTTGTTTTCGCATCTCCGTATATGCCGTTCATAATTTGCTGCAGATCAAATTGGAATATACCTTTGTGATGCCATTTATTGTTATATAATGTCCTTTACAACAGTTATTGCACTTATTGCACCAACAGATTGATTTGTGATCCATGCGAATGTGATCAACCACTCTGGCGAAAACTCGCCGAGCGTGGCAACCGTGCGACTTTGTCTGGAGGCTCGTCGCTACAAGCCAATCAGGAAGAGGCCGACAGAGCGCCATGGCTACCGATCACGCGTTGATCACGAATCAACCACTGTTTACGATTACTTTGTAGCTTCGTTAGATACGCTTTACTTTCCATTTTCGTTGGGACACCCTGTATATGAGCATACAGTTAGCTATATATGAGTGTGCTTCAAATTGAGAAAGCAAAATGTATTTGGTTGGGATTCCGACTTAAGATATACGACAAGACAGGTTCAGTTACAGTGCCTAGAATGTCGCAAAATTCAGGCCACTTAACCAAACAACGTCCAACTTCGTTACAGCGCTGAGAGGTAATGCTCTCATCCAACATCAAACAGTAGGCCTTGTTGCTAGTTAGTTCGTGACTTTGGAAATGCTTTTTTAATACTTCAGTGTTCTTGGGTACAAGTGAGAAAATAAGTTTCTTGCATAAAATTGTATTAAAAGAATTACACTTTTTCTATCAAAATACTAGCCGCCTCGAGGTCCAGATTTTTTATTTACTGTTCTATGAATAAATTCAAGATGCAGATGTGTGGATAACTACTATACAGAATGTCGCCGCTAATATTATAGAATACAAGCTAATGCGAATGCCAGTGAAAGCCAAGTACTGCACAGTTATCCACCTGGATGGGCAGAACTAAACCAACGTTGCCATTCATACAGATTTGCAGCTCCTGCGATACGGGCCCTATGAAATACTACGGAAATCTCCAATTTATTTTCTATTGACGAACTGAATAGGTTCGGATACACAAAACGATAGGTCCAAGATATATTAAGTCCATAACCTCGTCTCTTTCTAATATTATAGGGCACACAAAATAGTTTTTGTTTTTTTGCAGTAACTAACTACTCAGTACTCTTTCTTATTAGTCACTGCAATCTGAAATGTTAGCATCTGGACTTGTGAGGCACATAACATGGTGTGGCTCGGACACATCGTGTGACAACATGATTTTGTGAAATCGTAACTTCCTTATTATTACTGGTAGGAGGACGCTACATGTAGCAAATGAAAAAACAATATTATCTTTAACTTAACATATGAAGCTCATTTTGGGCGAGTATTGGCTCAACATAGTTTGCCTCTGAGGTACAGTGTTGCTTTGGAACACATTTATACAATACTTTTCTCTTAGAAAACTTAGCTATTATTGGATTAATTAACTTCTGCATTCTATGACCGGCTTCTAAAAAATGCCCTGTATATCTCAACTCTTATATCTACAATAAATCGCTTAAACCACATCCTTTAATAATTAATCATGAATGGTACCATTGTAACAAAATTACACTTACCAGCACCACTTCAAAGGAAGAATTAGCTTTGCACACAGCTTTTAATTATCGTATGAATACGGGTGTCTTCATACAAAACTGGAACTGAAAGATCGATAATAAAACATAATTACTATTATTGTCTGGTCAGTGGCAGGATGAAGTTTTGTCATCACTTACAACAGTATGAAATCAAGTTGCATATGAGAACTAGATAATCCTCAAATGAATGAAAGCTCTAGCAGCAAGAAGTGAATATAAATATAAAGCGTTTCAGGAAGTTTGCCCCCTATTTATTGTTTGGAAGGGTCATGTTTGCTAACCGATGTATAAGTAACATTCGAAATTTACAACAAGGCAGTTGAATGTCATTTTGTAAAATTTTCTAAATGGCTTGAGGGTTCGTGTGATACCCTATCTTTGCGATTCCCAGGAGTACTTAATAACCATAGAATATATAATCTCTATCTTTCAAAATAGCAGACTGCGAAGCTGCAAGAGTTAATCATTTTTGTGCATTAAATCACTTATAACTCAACAATCATCAAAATGTTAGTATGTTATATCAAATGTGAAACATTTTAGAGCAGAACAGATGAACTGTTCAACTATGTAATGCTATTTCTCAGAGAATAAATACTGTTTCAGAATACCTGTCATCTATGTGTCAAAATTAGCGCCTTATTACTCGTATGTTTGAACGGGTCTCATGACTTCATTGCGTTACGAACGTAGTGCTTCATCCGGAGGTGAGACCAAGTATTAAAGATTTTAGGATCATTAGATACAAGATCGCCCCTTGCCGGATCTAGCACACTCCAAAATTTGCAGAGACGCCCAGACAAAATCTTTCAACATAGAGACTCAACAACATATTAAATACACTTTTCACCTTTTAATACCTGTCCTTACATGGATTTACATAAGTTCAATGTTGGAGAACTGCTAGAATTAAAAAAAATGTTTTCCAGCAACCTGATTATCCTCCTTTCTTCTTTAGATGTTGAAACATGTATTTTGAACAGTAATCTCAATTAAGCACCAATCTTTAGAAAAAATGTAGATGACAGCTTTACAGATGCAGATGCTCTCCACTATCCTCATCACTCCAAAGAGGGTGACGTCCAACAGTTAATATCACAATTAGTAAGCTTTGAGAGTACATTTTTGATGTGAGAAATTCGCAGTGGGCCTTCCAATTTAAGTTCGAATCAAAACGAACTCCAAGAAATTTCACTTCTCCTCTAAAATCGAGTTGATCGTCACCCAATCTAACTTGAAACCCTTCTACAGGTTTTTGAGCATGATGAAAACGAATAAGCGTTGATTTGGAAGGATTCAAGTAAAGTGAGTACTGGTTAAACCATGTATTGATATTCCTAATTATGTTGTTACATTTATCTCCCAAAATTATATTTGAATTACTTGATATTATGGCAGAAACGTCATCAGCATATGCTGTAAAATGGGTATCCGGATGAACATTATCAAACTGATTAATGTATAAGAGGAAAAAGATTGGTCCAAGAATAGAGCCCTGAGGGACTCCAATCGAGATGTCTAACGTACTTGACACAAAGTTTTTCATATTGTTCCCTGCATCAATATATTCTAATGAAACATATTGTTTTCTTTGGACTAAAAATGATCTGGCCCATTTAAGAGACTGACCGACAAAACCATATTTAACAACAATCTCCAAAAATTTGTTGTGATCAACGCAGTCGGATGCCCTACTGAGATCACAAAATACCCCAGTAGGGCACTCGCCCGCGTCGATGTATTCTATAAGCTTCTCATAAAAGGAATGTATGGCTGACATTGTGGTCTTACCATCTGTGAAACCATGCTGGTTTTGAGACAAAATATTGTTGTCCTTAAGATGTAGAAGAAATTTATCCAGAAAGGCATATTCAAACACTTTAGAAAGTACAGACGGCACAGTGATTGCCCTGTAGTTTGTAATATCAAGCTCCCTTTTTTAAAATTGGTATGACTTTGCCTAGTTTCAGCCTACTTGGGAACTCTCCGCAGCAAAATGAGATAAGGTGTTTTATTGGTTTTATTATAAGATGTAGTACTTCTTTTACCAGAAAATTGGGAATGTCGTCAAAACCGCAAGATTTGGAATTTTTTAATTTTTTCAAAAGTAAGTTACTGAGCTCATTATCTGTATAAGGGTAAAGTTTGAAATAATTTTTCACATTAAATTTGAAATCAGGTGCACTATCTGAGGTATTAATTTTTTGTATTATATCATCTGGAGCATTTTTTAAAAAATCGTTGAACATATTTGCAAACAGCTGAGGGTCCTACACTTTTTCATTTTGATCTTTATGTAGAACTATATTTTTTCGAACTTTGTTCTCATTTTTAGTTGCATTGACCACTTGCCAGCACGCTTTGGTGGTATTTTTAGACAATACAATTTTGTTTTGGTAGAATGATCTTTTTGTGCCTTTTTAGCATCATTATACAGTGACTTTAGTCTTGGATTTATTTGTGAAGTATGATACAAATCTTTCAAATTATTGCTTGAATTTCTTACGTTATGTGTAACCCAACTTTTTGAGCCGTTTCCCTTACAGGCTTTATGTAAAGGAAAATGATTATCAAAATACTACAAAAAGATATTAAAAAAATTTCCAAACGACTCAGAAACTGTAAAGCTAGAGTAAACTGACAGCCAAGATTCGTTTAATAAAGATTCTTTACAGTCGCTAATTGCGTTTTGATGAAAGCTTCTTTTGATCAGGTAAATTTTGTCCGATTTCTTGGAGCAAACATCGAAGTCCCCCAGAGTCGTTCTGTGATCCGAAACTGTATTATCATAGACACAGGAAACGAACTGAGTAATATTGGTAAAAACGTGGTCAATGCTTGTGGCCGAAGTATCAGTCACTCGGGTTGGCCAACCACCTTTATGATACAAACCAAACAGAGAGAATATTACACAATTTCATAAAATTAATACATTTTGACTCATAACAATTAAAATTAAAATCGCCACATATCTTTTAACCCTTCAATTTTCCTCTATGAAGAAACCCGCACGCCACTGCATCTTCTGTATCTATATAACAGCAATTACCCTCAAAACATTTTCACACCACTCTGAACAATGCTCACCAAACGATCTAAGAATCTATTCAAATACTTCGACTACATATCTATATTAAATGGTGTACCTTTTTCCTCTCAAAATATCTCTGCTGTAAAAAAAGCCATCATAGCGATATGGGGTGTTATATTGTTAACTTTTTGCACTTGCTTCTATTGCTTGGAGTTTCTAATGATGAAGAATAACGTGAAAAACATGAGCGTCTTTTTCCAGCAGATTGGGATATTGGTAACTGCACTGGTCGACATATTGAAGATTCTGGTCATTCCGAGAAGATGGAGAAAGATATTGAGCATTAGATTACGGTTACAGAGCAACAAATTTAGATATGAGCCGTATGGTAAGATAGTTTTCTTTCAGACTCTTGCTCATGTATGCCTGGTTTGAAAGCGCATATGCGATATCTGTACTTTAAATTATGGTGAATGTGCCCTAGATTGATTGCTTATAGATTTTTATGACTGCTTTAAAACTGTGATAAAATTAACTGTGATTCGTTTTTATTAACGTAAAAACGATACTATCCAAAGTTTTACTTTTTTTTCTACGATATTCAGGTCATAGGATCTACGTACGATTTGTCATCATGTAAATAAGAAATACAATAATACAAAAAATGTTTTATGCGAAAGTTGTGTAGTCTTTTTCTTACAGACCGACTGGGACTAAGCCACAGTCTCACAGAAAAGCGATTTAAAAAATACTGTCAAATATGGATCACTTTCTAATTTGTCGTGTATTCTTCAAAAACAATTTCAATGAAACTCTGTAACATCATAATCTTTGGAGAGCAAGGCATAAATATTCTTTTAAAGTTTGAAAATATTATACAGAATGTCAGCAGAATATTTTTGGAAAGGAACAATCTTTTTAAATTGCGTTGTAACAATACGGTAGTTCACTCAGGTTGCAAAACATTTCTAAATGGTTGTATTATAGGACGGAATTCCGCGCATTAAAAAATATTTATAGATGCGGAAAAAATGTAAATGATGTGACAAATAATTCGAGCTATGGGAACGGGTAGCACTTAATCTCGGAAACGGTTACCGCTATGCCAGAGTTACCTATCGTATATTTGGATTTAAGATACTTTTGTTTCCATATTTAGATATTTTTTATTGCTTCATATAACATTTCATATCATTGAATTTTTTTGAAAGGCAACGAACGAAACCTGGATAAAGAATCATCTAACGGAGGTATAAGTTCTAATAAATTACGATAGCAACACCGTCTTTTACCAGAATCGACCACTGCACGAGTGAATAGGAGCTATCTATTGGAACTGTTAAGATATCTCTGTTCGCATGAAAAGCCGAGACTCCACTGTAAGAGCTTGATCACTTTGGCAGTCGATTCTAGATGGCACTTTACTATACTGAGAAACATTTTAAAATTTACAAAATATCATTGTGCTTTATTCTGGACTACAGAGTTGCAAAGTTCCATTGAAATCCGTTTGTTCTTGAAGTAGATATAAGCAGTCCGACAACCAATCATTTTTAACAGATTTTGTAAAAACTTTTTCACTAATTCTGGGTCTGGTAGGCCTGTAATAAGAAACTATGCAACTTTCGGATAGAACATTATTTCGTAAAGAGGTGAATTTAAAATATAAGAGTAATACACAATTTTTGACAGTTGATGGTAATAACTTTCAGAAAAAACACAAGAAGTAAACTGCTGCCTTTTAGTACGTTTGAATCACGTATTTGTGTCTGAATTTTGATCTTGGCACCTTAAAGCTTAATTTGCTTGGAGTAATTTGTTCTTAGTTATTAGAGACTCGAAGAAGACTAGTAATGGAGACCATAGAACTAATAGAGAATTATTATGAATTATAATCAGGAATAACTTGTTCTAGGGGATTTTCAACCGGACAAACTAATTTCCAATTCACAAATATTTTGCAAGCGATTGACTGTATTGACGCTCTCCTACTACGTGATAGGTATATCAACGCATTATTCTGCATTAGCCAGGCTTAACGAAGAACAACCAGATGCTTATTTCCAGGTATATTTGTCTTAATTACACCTTGTCACATTATGATATTTTGAAATTTCACGATATTCAGATCTTTGCACAGGGGATTGCTTTTATAGCCGCTCTCGGTCAGACGTCAACTCGATGGATGTCTTCTGTCAGCCTTTCCCGCCCTTTTAGGCGCCCTGGGCTCAAAAACTTGCAAGCCTGCACCTTTTTTTCTGCTGAAAAGCACTTTTCTCTGCCTAACTAAAGCTTCCCTTGTTTATTGTTTCTTCCAGGCCCCGCACGGGTATCACGTAACTTGAAAAGTGACATTATTCCGATTATTTTTGACATTATGCTGTTTTTTTGACATTATGTAGGTTTTTCTACAAGATATTAACTTAGCACTTAGTTGTACGTGTTGCATAAACGTCATGAGGCTTGCTATCAATCTTTGGCTCTGATGTGATGTAAAATCTGTTTCAAAGGTGGCATTACTGGAGGTCTAAGCTGTAAGTTGTATGTGTGATAATTACATTGGGTTCTTGTCTCAAATACACTTAATTGAGATTCAAAGCTAGTTGCGCATTCACTTTTTTTTATCCATTCTAGATATTACATACACAAACTTGCTGAATTTCAAAAATGAGATAGGTACGAAATAATTATATTCACTGTACACTGTCGAATTATAAGCCATATACATGCTAACAGTAATTACTCAACGCGGGCGCGGAGATGATTTTTCGTAATTCTTCTCAGTTTTTCATAATTTATAACATAACCTCTCTTCCGAAAGCAGAACATAAAAATAACCCGTCGGGCACAGCCAATAGATATACTTCATTGGCAGCATATTCAGTAATGATGTTCTCACACAGCAAATATCACTGATTTTATACACATGCAGACCAATACACATAATCATCCAGATGCGATCTTGCTATTCAACCAACTTTCTTCTCAGAGATAAAAACTACAGACAAGAAACATTTCGTCTCACAAAACATATGCAACCGATAATGCGTTTAGTTTAGTGATTCCTCCTTAGATGGACATTCACAACGATCCTAGTGAGCAAACGTGGAATGACTGTTTGCGCCCTAAAAACTACCTAGTTTGCATGATGACATCTTATAGGTTTTTTTTGACGTTTTATAGGTTTTTTACATGATACCATGCCGTATTATCACAGATAATGTTTCAATTGGTGCTTTGATAACATTTCCTGCACCTTTTGACTTGCGTCAGAAGCTTTTTAACGGCGCTCTCCTGCTTTTCAGCTATCTTAAGCTCAATTTTACCCTTTTTTGTTTCCTTAACATTGAGTACCTATTCCCTGAATATTTATCTGCTGCATCAAGCTCCGAAGAATGAGTTTTCACTTTTGTAAGCTTTAATAAATATAATATCTTACTTTTCCATTCCTCTCACTACATGGGTCTGCAGACAAAAAACTTATGTAGTTTGATGTGCTAAAAACAACACTGATATCAGAAAATGCATAGTACGTCAGAGATTTACACAAATTAGATTTACACCATTTTCCCTTGTCAGCCATGATGTCTTGACAGATATTTTAGTATTATCATCACATGAGGCAACGGTGAATAAAGATCACACGTGTTTAGTTCAGATCAGCTGTTTTGTGGACGACAAGCATTCGATTTAATCCCTCCATCTCTCTCATTTATTTACCTTTTCAGCCTTCTCTGAGTTTAGTGACCTTCTGGTATTATTACGATTTTGTTTATATAATAATTTCGAAAAATAGCCTCTCAAATGTTTTAAAGCAACAATACAATATAACAGACTTTGCGCAAAGAATTTGCATATTTTGGAATAAAAATTGATCAAGACAAAGCTTCGACCCCTCATAAAGTTTGCAAAAGATGTGTGGAGGACCTTCGTTTCTGGTTTAAGGGTAAAAAGAAAAGTTTCAGCCTTGGGGTACCTATGGTATGGCGAGAGCAAAGCAATCGTAGTGAGGACTGCTACTTGTGCTCGTGTCACTTTAAAGGGTTCAACTCAAAATCAAAATATTCCATACACATACACAAATCTGCCCTCAGCTATTCGTCCTGTTCCTCATGATGCAGAAAAACCTGTTCCAAAGCCCCCTGCTTCGTTGAGAGAGATACCAAGCGATCAGGATTCAAGTTCTGACTTTGAAGATGACACTAGACCAAAATTGTCCTCCCAGGAAGAAATAAATGATTTGGTGAGAGATCTGGATCTTCCCAAAGATGATGCTGAGTTGCTTGGATCACGACTCAACGATAAGAACTCATTCCTACGTAGAGTCTTTTTCTTGGTGTAGACATCATGAAAAGAATTTTTTGCCTTACTTTACCGAAGAAGATTTAGTTTATTGTAATGCTATTAGAGGTTTGTTGGTTCAATACAGAATATAGTATGACCCCAAATAATGGCGTCTGTTTATCGACTCATCGGAGCGCAGCTTAAATGCAGGTTGGTGGTTTCTATGCTTCCTGTTGGACATTCAGTGTTCTTAAAAGAGACTTATGAGAACTTGGAAGTGATTCTTCAAAAACTCAAATATGAATATGGAACAGTCAAGACCGAAAAAATCACTGGTCGGTAGTGAGTTGGGAGCCAAGGACATTACGGTTGGTCGACACAATGTTCTGCGAGAAGACGACCAGAAAAAATTCTCCTTCTTGCCCTTCATATAAATCTAGGCCTGATGAAACAGTTCGCCAAATATCTCCCGAAAGAAGGAGAATATTTCAAATACCTGATTAAAAAGTTTCCATGTCTTTCGGCGCCGAAATTACAAGGTGTATTTATTGAGCCAGATGTCAGAAAGCTGCTAGCGAATCAAGAGTTTGCCAACACCAAGACAGATCTCCAGAGAGAAGAATGGTTCGCATTTAAGGATGTTGTGGAAAAACTTTTGGATAGCAGTAAAGATTTTGATTATAAAAATATAGTCTAAAGGGTGCTAAAATCTCTTAAGGAATTGGATTGTCTCATGAGCCTGAAGGTACATTTTCTTAAATCCCACCTGGACTATTTTCCGAAGAATTTAGGGGCTGTGAGTGGAGAGCAAGTGGAACGTTTCCATCAAGATGTCAAGGAAATATAAAAGAGATATCAAGGAACCTGGAGCATCACAATGATGACTGGCTACTGGTGGATGCTACGGACGGACATTCCAGATGCTATACATAAGCGGAAATGCACTAAGCGAAGCAACTTAGCAAGGAAGCAACCATTTTAGTTAAGTTCACCAGCTCATTTGTATTAAAAAATAAACAATTAAAATGATAAACAAGACTTCACGTAGTTTTATATGCACTATTTATATCATTTACGAGTAATGAAAAAAATTTACACGCAGTTTGTGAAAAAACGTGACGTGCTACGGCAAAACGGACTTCATTTTTAGATTCAGTGCGGCATAAACAATATAAATCAGTTAAAATTACCAAAACAGCTTTTCAAAACATTTTCTTTGCAGACCTGCGCTATATACATCCCTATATATTTGCGCATATCTCTACGAAGGTGCTCTCGTAGAGCTGTCCTGGCTCACTGTCTTCATGAATTTTGATAGGAATTGCTATTTTTGTATTTTCCATTTTGAGATTGACAGTTTTTACGTTTGAGACAACGCTGTTATTTGTCTTGGTGAACTTGAATTGGTTCTCCTCCTGCTTTACAGCTTTCTCTAATTTTGTTTGTCTAGCTGTAAAAACTGCATCACTTCGTCTACCTTTTTCGGTATCATTTACCAGTATAATGCAACTGGGGTCTCTTATGGAGGCATTTATCTCCCATGAGAGTGCTTTGATTCTTGCTATTCTGCTCCCTGTCAAGTTCCATGAATTTATCATGGATTTTATTAACTTCATTCAGTCCTCTTAGTTTTCTAAATGTTCAAGCCAGTCTCAATATGTTTGGAATATCTTTGAGTGCCAGTCGTTCGGGACCCCTTATTATTTTTGCTATCTTGGATGTGGTTCTGTATCGTTCTGCACGTCATTGTCAAAAGTCCTTATTCAGGCAGGCACAAATACGTTGGAGATACACATTTTTCTCCTTGATGTCCTTCCTTGTATTCCAGGTTGCGTTAACGAAATTGTTTAGCCTTACCAATGTGAACTTCAATGCCTCTAGGTTATCCACAAGGTCATACACAATTGGATTCTCCTTATTTTCCAGAATCGCTCCTTCAATCTCTTCTCTGGATAGCGTTACAGTCTTCCATTTCTTACCGATCTCTGAGGCATGAATTAGACCGGCTACCTTCTTCACGGCTCAAAGAGCACCGTTCACCCCTTGACAGTCGCCCGGAACAGACGCTTAAAAAGATGATTCCTTTCACTGAGGTTAGTTACACGACTTTGATCAATCATCCCGGAGAGACCCAACATAGTCACCTCTTAAGACAGGCAGGGGATTTTGAGATTATTCTAGCTTCTGTCCCGGTGGCAAGTTGGGCCAATATTTAGAAATAACATACAACTTCGACATGACTCTCTAACCTAGGCTAGGCGGTTGCAATTTAGAAGATTAACGATGCGAAATGGTTTTATGATATAGGAACATAAATACATTCATTTTATTATTTTTGTCAATCCTATGGATTGATTTCAAAAACATAATTTTGAATAGTTATTGTGCAAACATTATTGTAGTAGACGTAAAGTAGTGAAAGCATCTTTGACTAAGTTTTAATGAATAAAAATTTGTATCTTCAGGAAAACTCTACATGCTACGATTATATACCATATTACTACCATATTCCTTTTGACACTAGTACTATTCAAAGATGTAAATTTGCATTGATAGCTATGGACATAGGCATGTGTATTTATGTTGGATATACTATAGGTAAGTAAAGAATCATAGTACAGACCGTAGCGTAACTGTCGAAAGGTGATGTTTATCTCACTATGATGCTAATATACAGGGTGACTTGTAATGTCACGTAATCCTGTTAAGGGGTGATAGATTAGGTCAAAAGCAACCGATTTTGTCCTATCATGTCTTATCCAAAAGTTAACCATTTTTGAATT